CCACTTCAAGATACACTCCTTGTGAACAAGTGAAAGCTCTCCTTTGCAACTACACTCCATTTTAAATGCTTCGCCGCCTTCCCCAACCTCAACAAAACAAATTCTGCAAATTGCTTCTTCCTCTGGAATGTCTTCATCATCATCATTAGTAACACCTGACACACGATGTGAATTCACAATTCTAATCAGCAACCCAATGAAATGAGGCATGACCTAATCTCAATGGTGTCATTGGTATTCGGGATAGGAATTATAATTTCATTTTTACAACAACCCAGCATAATCCCAACTCCATTGGAATCTGGGGGGTCAAGATGTATACAGTATTACCCCTGTAAAAACAGAGACATTTCCGTTAGACCCTAGATGCCTTGCTGCATTTACTGCCCAACACTTCATGGAGAGTAAGAAACAAGGAAATTTGAAAATGCTTTTTTTGTTTTGTCTATTATGTGCCTGAAACTAAAACATTGTCAATGATGATTCTTTTAGCTCGATTAGCAACAAACTGACTATAATTTCATTTCTACTACTTAAAAATTAAGCTCAAACACAAAGCAACGCGAATGTGAAATGCATACCATTTTCGATTTCCTGAGCCGCCGTGACTGCTAATGCATTACCATCTGCATTTCTCCTGACAGATGAAGATAACGATATTACACGGATCAAATTTTTAGAAGAACCGGTCTTCTTCCAGCTTATAATTTTTACATTGGCAGGGACGGAACGCGAACGTGGTATATGTGGTCCGGCTTCAAATATCTATCAGTTGGAATATGCAAAAAAACAATGTTAGAGGAATAACACACACAAACATAAAACCAGCCATTGCGTGCATCCAGATGTATAATACTAAAAACTCACAAGTGGTGATTCAGATTTGGAAGGATGATCATCCAATGGGGGGACAGAGTCGGTGGGGGTTACGGGCAAAGAACGGGCGGGTTTAGTTGAGGAAGAGAAGGACAAGACTTTGTTAAGGGAAAACGAAGGTTTATCGGAGGGGAGGATGAGAACAGTCCTTTCAGCATCTGGGTGTGAATGTTTAGCCCTAAAACTCTTCTGTGGAATCAAATTCTTCACTGAAGAAATCAACCTAGCCGAGTTCGGTCTCGGGGGCAGCCCGGCCCGAATAGATCCAGGGCTTGGAAGAACATCAGTCCTGGTGGTGAAACTGGACATTTCCCATTCTGACCTCGCCGGAATTTGCAGAGAGGAGAGGCTCGGCCGCCTTGCCCCCTCCTCCACCTCCTGCTTCTGCTGGATAAAAGGCAAATTTCACTTAATAATCAAAAATCAAAGTCTGGGCAGCTCATACATAGGTTTTTTTATTAGCTTCCAAAATAATACTCCGCGTGATAATTTCTCAAGCAAGAATTCGAAGTTTGAACAGACAAGGGGAGTAGAGTTGACCTGGATTACATCAGTTTCAGGTGGCTGAGACATTCTTTTTCCTCTTCAGACCGCAAATAAAGAAACACAGCAGAATTATAGTATTGTTCTTATTAAGAGCATTAGCGAAAGACAACAAGTCTAAAAGTTGCAGTTCCTATAACGCGGTGATGGGGATTGATTGAAGCAGTCCGTCCTGTTTTATTTATTTACTCTTCAGTCCCAAAATAATTATCACTCTTCAAAAATTCAAACTTTATTCCTTTTTTTATGAGTCTTCGTTAGTTATAGTCCATTTTGACTTTTTTGAGTTAAATAAGACGAAATTTAAGTTTTGATTGATTAAAAACTATAATGTATATTAGTATAAAAATAATTTTAATGTACTTAACTTGTTCAAAACTTTCAAAAAATTATTTCATTGTATTAATATGAAATGCAATAGAGAGTAATTGATGATTAAAATTTGTTCAGCTTGATTCAGAAAAATCAAACTAGATGAATACTTGGGAACGCATGGAGTAATAAAAGAGATAAAGTCATATCACCACTTCTATGCAAATTTTACTTTTAAATTTTCATATAAAATGATTAGAAAATAAATTCAGTAAAAAAATCGTAATTTTACGCACATTAAGGGGGGACGGAATAACTTGCAAGAAGGAAATTTGGCTTTTTTTAATTCCCTCCGAGTGAAATACAGAATAAATTCTAAAGCCTTTCTTCCCTTTTTCTTTATTATTACCTAGCTACTACCTACCTTGCAAAGCAACTACCGAGTATAGTGAAAAATAGTACTCCTATAAGACACTTGCTTTTGAGGATTAAGATACAATTTAAAAGTAATTGAAAAAATAAGAGTCGATAACTTGATATGTTTAGTAAGAAAAATAATGTAAAAGTGATCGAAATATTAAGAGAGAGAGTGTGAAAAAATATTTGAAAAAGTAAAGAGATGATACAGAGTATAAAATTATTGCAAATATAGATAAATTAATTACAAAAATAAATTAGTTGCGTCAAATCCTATCCTATATATATATGTAATTAGGTGGACGCCACATGTGCATCCACATGTGCACTATTTAATTAGGTGGAGGCATTTCATTGGTTCATTAAGTTTCTTTATTTTAAAATATCTTTTAATATATTTTATTGTATTATATGAAATGAATATCATTTTTTAGAAATAAAAAACATTACTTTGATTATATTTTGTATAAAATTTTAACATTTTCTAACAATTCTATAAACATATATTTCACTATTGTAAAATATACTCCGTATTTTAAATATGCATATTGATTGCAAAATTTTAAAAAAGAGTATGTATAAGACTCTTTATTGTTAATTTTAAAATATTTCACTTTCAGAACACTGAAGAAATATTTCACCTTCAAGGATATTAAATTGTTTTTTACATTTTTATGTTTTATTTAATGTAATATTTTTTAATAGAATAGTTATAGAATTTTTTGTGCATGTACATCAATATTTCAAGTATACTTTTTATTTAAAAAATATACTATGTATATCTTAGAGTGGAAAAAATATTCATTTTAAATAAATAAAATTATATTTATAGAATGTAAAAAGTTTAAAATGTATACGAGCTCATGCGAAGCACGGGGTTAACACTAGTTTGATGTAAGAGTAGCTTCATGTTGAGTTCTCAACTTCCCATATCAAGTGTGCAACCTAGTATTGTGTTGCTTATAATAACTTGAGTGCTTCAACCTCTTGAGTTAATTTTTAAATTTTTAAAGTTGAATTGCGTTCAAGTCTATTATTTCACATGGTATCGAAGCTAAAGTCATTGATGTTGGGCACTAATCTAGTCTTGTGAGGGGGCTGGTTAAGTATTCAACTCCCACATCGACTCTGAATCCTATTGTTATGTTGCTAACAATAGCTTGAGTGTTTTAACCTCTTGAGTTAATTTTAGAGGTTGAATTGACCAAAATGGCCAAGTTTGTTATTTCACATAGTATTGGAGCTAAATTAATTGATGTTGGGAGTGCACGCAAAATCTTCACTTCATGTGAGGGGGGCGTGTTGAATGATCAACTTCCTACATCGATTGTGCAACTTAATATTTTGTTACTTATAATAATAGTTTGGGCGTCTCAATTCTTGAGTAAATTTTTGAGTTTAACTTAGGTCGAAGTATATTATTTCACAATTTCCATTTGTCTACCTCATCACTCCCTAAACCAAGAATGATGTGGAAAATAGAGAAAAGAAAATATAATGAGAGAAAACATACAAAAAAACAGATTTTCATTTGTTAAAATGAAGGAAAGAAAAGGACATGGATCGCACATAAAAAAAACTCTTTCATATTGTGTGGATTATCATATCCATATTATATTGTGCATTATTATACCATTCGTATTATGTAGTATTATGCCATCTTAAACAAATAATGTTACCATACTTTGTATAGTATTGTGAAAACTAAAAACTCTACCTTGGATAAGATCTCTTTAACGTGTATGGAGTAGCTGCATGGAGTGGAATAATACTTAAGTAGACATAAGGGTGACCCTAACGGGGATAAACTAGTTCTCACAGTTCCTATGTACTTGGTCATTTTGCAAAAAGGTTTGTTCAAGTGAATCCGGTGGGGATACTACTCACAACAACTGGCGAAATAGGTAACTAGCGGAGACTACCCAATCCTAGAAATTCTGAATTGATCGTGATATCACTCACGATATAGTATTGTATATAATGGTTTAAGTATTGTATCCCAGATTAGACAAAGATAAACTATTTTCCAAATGACATGAGCAAAGCATTTGAATAGACAGAGTAAGATATAATTGTATGATAGTTTCGGAAATACTCCAAAAATGTATTTTCTTATGAAATTAATCCCCATACTATTGAATTACTGTTATTTTTACAAGAGAAATATATCATGGCCTTGCCAAACCTAAAAGAATGGTAGATCAATACAATAGCCACCCAATACATATATATTACAACAGTGCAATTCTCATCGATTTGAAGGAATCAACTAGTAACAAGGTTTGGGTGGACAACTTTACCAAATTTATTGTTGAAGACATGAGAATAGCGATGTCAAGGGATTAGGATTTGGTCACTCATCCATCCAATAACTCCATATTCGTCATTAAATATATCCATCATCTATTACATGTATCACTCATCATTCAATCCATCCGCCACCCGCGTGTAATATTAGTAGTAATTTTTTAATCATTAATTTCATGAAGAGAAGTATACATCACAAAAAAAACCTTAGAAAAATGTGATATTAATAATTTTTATGATGGAACCATGCAAAAAAAAACAATCTTCTAATGTTTATCCAGTATAATTTTCATATTTTTCAAAAAATAAATATGAATAGGTTGATTGATGACTCGAGCGATAGGTTGGTGACGGGTTGTAAACATATCTACTCGCATCCGACCTAACCCATCATCAATCCATCTATCATCTATCCATCATCATTTTCTTTTCGAGTTTTCATCCATTAGATCAGTCAAATAATTTGATTGTTTAACAAATCAGGCAAAAATTATCATCCCTACCCCGAAAAGGTCAACATCCACAATCCACTCAAATCTCGTACAAAGTTGGATCAAGATTTCTTATTGATTGACCTCTTGAACATGGAGAGGGATTGAACTATCAATATACAAAGGGTTCATATAACTTTATCTCTCCATTAACATTTGTGATGTATTCTCTCTATAAGTTAGTCACATGTTCCCCATGATTAAAGTCTCACCAAAATATTCAATATAATAAGACAACCAAAAGCATTTCCAACCCAATTAATTTGGTCATATCCAAAGATACCAAATCAATAAATAAATCATCAATGGATGGATTGAGAGATAGTGAAATGGGAAGGATTTTCCTACAAGTAGGAAAAGATTCTACTTTCTCTGTGCTGACTCTGACTAACCTATGTGAAGCCAAGAAACTAACTTGATTCCTCTTCATCCTCACAGCACACCTTTCTTTAAAACCTTTATTATTATGCATTTATATGCTCGGCACCGCCTTCATCTGTTCAACAAGGCACACAAAACCCATTAAATGCATGTTCTCACAAGAAAAATAAATGCTACTCCCTAACTGATACAGATGTCAAATCTTTTTTTCCTGCATTATTAGTATAAAACTGTTGTCAACCTCTAACTATGGCCATATTTAGAAGTTGGCCGCTGGCGGTTAGCGGTTTTGAATGACTGATAGGTTTAGCAATTTTGACCATCTGGATGTGTTTACAGATTGTTTTAAATGATTGGTAAAATTTTATTGTTTGTAAATACTTCATTTATTTTTTAAAAAAATGGTGTACAATTAACTTTGTTTATTAAAAACACTATCTGTTGTTCAGTTTTTCCGTTGTACGACTTAAGGCCATGTTCTCTTCACCTAATCTGGTTGATTCTGATCTGATTGGAATAAGTTCTGATCTTGTCTGATCTGAATGTAGTTATATTTTAAGTAATTTCTTATCTGATCTAATTTGGTCTAATCTGATCTGATCTAATTCCAATAAAAATAAGTACAACAACAACAACCCAGTTGGATCCCACTACAGTAGGGTCTGGGGAGGGTGTGTGTACGCAGACCTTGCCCCTACTTGGAAGCAGGGAGGCTAATTCCAAAAGACTCCTGGCTCAACCTGCACAAAAAATATGATAGGGTATACAGTATAGCATGGATAAAACACCAAGTACAATGAAAAGAAAGTTCTACAAGTATTAATAGAAGATTCCAATCAAACACAACACACTACAAAAAACCTCTATAGCACCGAGTTCCTAACCAGCTACTCTAATCCTAATTCTCCAAAGGTTCCTATCTAAAGCCATATCCTCAGTCAGGGTGAGAAGTCCTAAATCCTGTCTAATCACTTCCTCCCAATTCTTCTTAGGTCTACCCCTTCCCCTACTTCCCCCGAAAACCGTAATCCGCTCGCATCTCCGTACAGAGGCGTCAGCATCCCGCCGTCTCACATGACCAAACCATCTCAACCTCGCTTCCCGCAATTTATCTTCCACCGGTGCCATGCCTACCTGACGTCGGATAACTTCGTTCGAAATCCTATCCAACCTTGTCTTCCCACACATCCATCGTAACATCCGCATCTCCGCCGCATGCAGACGACGCACATGAGTCTTCTTAACCGCCCAACACTCTGCCCCATATAACATAGCAGGTCTGACTACGGATCGGTAGAACTTGCCTTTCATCCTGGGCGAAATCTT